CCTCGTCTTGGAAGTGTGCGATGAGGTTGTCGGCTCTCGTAAATAGACGAGTCATCTGTCCTCTCTGTCCTCATCGCGATCTCATGCGTTTGAGAAGTGTCTCTGCATCAGTTTTGGTGATGTTACCGGCTCCTCCAGCGGCTGGGTTTTGTGATGTCTCGTCTGGCATTATCGATGGTTATATCCTGGTCTCGGCACCAAAAATGTGGGAGAGTAGATTGTGGATATGCTACTGCTCACGCTAAAGGCAATTATAAATGACAGAGAGACACACGAGCGTAGTTTACGTTAGCAAAAACACAGTATAGGTTTATTGCAGTACGAAGTAAACTGACATAGAGTACTGAGGCAACTGGTAAAAACATGAAATATAACAGAAATCATGGGTATTTATACCCTCTATGCGAACGTGAAAGGAAACACATTTAGGCATAAACTATGTAACTAAGTTTTAAATATAAGCGGCAAAACGAGGCCGAACTGTGATTGGTCAAAGTTAAACACTTGTGATGGGCTGCTCACTTCACCACCAGAATCCATAGTTGGATATAATAGGAGGATGAATCGAGATAATTTATCATGGATTGACTCCGCTAAACAACTTGAAGTTATTCATTGCCTACATAGGTGACTTCAAAATCTGTGTTCAATATCAGGAATTTCACCAGCTATTAATTGCATGGGAGTGCCACTCTTTCATGATTTTCTATTGTAATGTAATTTTTTTGCGATTACTCGGAACATTAAGCTGTAACCACAGTCCATCTAGGTGCTGTAACTAAATCCTGCTATAAGCACCGGTTAGGCAGGCTGGAACTATGCATGTGAAGCCAGCTGAGAGGTATATCCAATCCTATAAATTTCTCATTGTTTGGTAACTATTTTCTGCAAATGCAACACAAATCAATATTATAAAATATTACCCACACAGCATTCGACAGGTTACTTGTGTATTATATTACTTGACCTTACGTATGGCTAACACACATACCCATGACAGTGTTCAACAGCCACACTCATACGTGGTTAGTTGAAGTCTGATCCCAGAAGCATGTCAGTTTCTATTGCATAAATAAACTAATAGCTATCTATCATAAATCGGATTGAATCCTCAATTTCTTTACAATTCAAGGAATGGGATAATCAACCCGAAACGTTATTTTGTGTGGCAACTCTAGAAGTGAGATCTTCCTGAGACATTGTGTAGTTACATTGCCTGTTTGATTTTCTTCTCTCGTGTTTCCCGGGTCAATTTTTGTGGAGTAGCATATTAGAGCTACCCTGTGTAGATTGGGAAACACTACATGTTTGAACGCAACTGACGTCGTCTTGATGCACTGATTGTGCGGCTATGTTTGTGTCGATCGAGGTTTAGCTAACCTCGTGTCACGTACAAAACAGACGCGTTACCAGAGGAGTCCATGTTTTTCGGGCGTATTGTGATTCAGTGATGTGTCAATTGTGATTTGTTTTCGTCAAAATATAATTCTCGCCCGCTATACATTTGTGCACGTTTAGACTAGACTTAAACAAACAGGGAGTACGACAAGTGTGTCTGGGGTAGCAGGGTAGTATTTAATGTTTAAGTTAATTACAAATTTTGGAATCGTTTTTATAACAATAGCAGTTTTATCGAGTTTTTAGTAATTTAAATTATATGCATTGTATACCACGCCAGGTAGGTGTTCCCTAAAAAATGCAGACAATATATAGGTGTATTGAAATGATAATATCGTGGGCCATAAATACGCATTGCGATGTTATACACATCCCACACTGATTTAAATACCAGGGTTGTCACTATACAGCTGGACTGTACATTTCTTGCCTGCCAGGTATGGAATTGTATCGACTTCCACTGCACGTACGCGTCTGTCAATACTGTCGCCGTACTGCCGTTCTGCATATTTTGTTATCTATTTGAATGTTATCTATCCCTAGGTTTAAATGAGATTAAATATCATAAGGATCATAATCAGGCTGTAATATTTGTATGACATGTTTCTCAGCTGATTTATAATGTCTTCAACACACTTACGTTATATTGTAATGGTCCGTCTAATTAACCATGTCACCGGCCAACCTGTATTACTTCAAACTTAGCAAGTTTGAATTTAAGACATGGTGCTTTTCTTGAATGTTTCTCTATTATTTAGTTCATCAAAACCTATATCTCCAGCAACAACAAAAATTACCCATGTACGCTGTCAATATTCTTTATGGACTGGATACGGCTTTTTTTTTCATTTTATTTTCTTTTATCAAACGGTGACTTATACCTATAGGCAGTCATACGACCTTGTTTTTTATTAAATCACGTTTTTTTTTTATTTCACGAAAAAATAAATCCCGAGAATGTGCACTTCGCATAAGCCCCTCTGAGCCAAAACAATAACATTTGTAATTAGCTTAAAGCGAACCTAAATGCGGCCTTAATTTATAGTTGTGTATATTCTAAACTGTATTCGAAATAATATTGCAGTGGTTTAATTTTGTTTTAATTATAACTGTAGCTTGGATAGGCATTTGAAGTGCTTGCCATGGAGGCCATTCATGGAGGGGAATAATTAACGAACGAACATATTTAACATCTGGGTACTTTTCAAAGCTATGACGTTTTAGTATCTGATCGCATTCGTATACGCCATTGTACATAGCCATTCATGCTGCCAAGCATTGTGTACTATTAGTATAAACTCAACTTTTATATGCACAATGTGGTTTTTAGCTC